TGAAGCTTCAAGAATATCAAGTGCAGACTTAGCCGCCTTGAAGATTCCATCAATCGTTCCGGATTGGATGCCATGCTTCTGAGCTTGGCTTATCAGCTGAGTGCAAATCTGAGCGCAACGCCCGAAGACGTGGTTAGTGGCAAACAGCAACCTGCCCTTGAACGATGCTAAAGAACCATGTACCTTAGTGCGATCGGCCTCCATCGAAGAAAGCGATTGCCACAAGGATTCCACGCGGCCCTCTTTGTTGTGAACTCTGATAATGCCGGCCTCGGAGTTGCTTAGGTCCAAGGAAACGCCCAAAATGTTGAATCGCGATTGTAGCGGGTGCAACTTGTCGCCACGTGAAATTTCCCAACCCAACAAGTCCATAAGCCTCTCTGCCGTCTTCGAAGCCGACTCACCAAGCCCCTCAAACTCCATCTGCGTGAAGTCATCGTAATAACTCGTGTTGACCAACCACAACAAACGTGACATCACCAGCTTCAAAGCCTTGGCCGTTCTATTAAAGCCTGTGACACTGCTGACTGCACCAAAAGGCAGGGCCACTGCCTCAAAGTACTTGACCTCGTCATTGGCCTGATCGTACACTGCCAGAACCGTGGCCCATGCATCATCCGGATGTCTAGCCAGTTGCTTGTAAGCTGAACGCAAATCAAGAGCCCGCCCAACAATCTTGCGATCACCTGCACGCGAGAAGTCGCGATGCACCTTGCCGTTGAAGGTTCCTCCGTCCTCCTTTGGCAGCTCAAAGCACTCGCCATCCCCGGACACTGCACCACTGAAGAACCGAGCCGTGGCGACGATCTGATCGATGCCTTCAAGACTAATCTTCTCAGTCTCGGTGACCGATGAATTAACCAAGAACTCTGACAGATCATCGATGGCTCTGATCTTGTCGCCCTGCAAGATGCCAAAGCGCTTGGAGCCTATCCAAGTTCCTTTATACTTAGCATCAATCTCAGACCAGCTGTAAGGTCCCCGCAGCCATCCTTTGTTAACCTGTTCCAGTGCTTCGTCCCAGACCGCAGTTGCCACCTCGGGATCCTTTGCCGCCGCTCTGCAGGATGACGCCACAGTGTGCTTCGCCCACTTCGCCGTCGTTTTGAGGTCGTCATGGGACAAGGCCGCAGGTTTGAGCCTCCGTTGAAAAAGCCCCGAAGGTTGTAGTTCTCCCGTAATCCGAAAGCCACCCACGAGGTCATTCACAAGATTCTCATCCTTGATCCCAGCATCCTGAAGTACTTCTTTGAACAACAAGATCCTCTTGTTCTCCATGACCCTGCGCACCTCCGGGGCCATGCTGGCCTTAAGCTTCTTTTCAGCCTCTTCAAGCTCCAAAGCTCTTCGTTCATAGTGTTCCAACACTTTAGCTCGATGCTTGATCGTGCCCTTCACACCGGTCGTGAGAATGTTGGCCATCGCCTGCATGTTGGAGTCGTCGAGAGCGCTCGGGTTGTCGAAAGGGTGCTTGGCTTTCATCGCCTCGGCCACAAATGCATCAGGTGTTCGGTAAATGCCAAATGTTGCCTCTTTGCACCACTCACCCCCTTTCTGCAC